ATAAAAGTTACATGTCTACAACACTGGTAGACTTTTTGGAGTGACCTCTCTTTGAAAATCAATTACTCGGACACTAGATGTGATAATATAGTTTTGGTTAATCTATTATTTTCTCAAATGTTTGATTGAGGCATTCCTGAATTTTTTTTGCACTGACTCTTAAGACTGATTTTTACCGAGAGTTTGAAACTCAAATATCAAAAAGTCTAGGATGTGTTTGGTTAGAAGGTTAAAAGCTAAAACACAAACAAATAAATTAGTTTTAAAAGCGGAATCACTATTAAATGCAATAATTAAGGAATAAAGGGAATTACGTTTAAAACCAGAAATGAATAGTAAAAACATATCAAACACTGTATTTACTGATTATGATAACAATTAAGTGCTCTTTTTAAACGAAATGCATTTGTCGACAATTGCAAGACATGAAAGGTTTGATTGAAATAATCCCTATTCGGGGGGTCGACCGGACACGTCATGTCAATGGCTTTTCTTAATCTGACCTCCAATTCATTCAATAGCGATGGCATTAAATGCGGGCAATCGTATACTTTTTGGACAATTACATTCAAAAGCACTGTTTTCATTGGATGAAAGGCACCGAACATTATGTCCAAATCGGTCAACAATTTCCACACGTGAGCCATGATTTGGGTGCGAGACGTGAAGACTTGATCGGGAAAGAGATCACCGGTTTGGAAGCGCTCATAATCGACGTCACGGTCCAAATGGTGAACACATTTGTCGCACTCGCAGACTATTGACAACATTTTAAGAGCATTTTGTCTATCCGTTCGGTTCATTTGTAACGGCACGCGATTGAAAGTAATGTCTTCGCCGACGGCTATCGGTCTCATTGCCCGCAATTGCATCGATAGATCTATTCAGTGGTTAGAAGTGGTAATTAAAATTATGGTAAAACAACGATTGATATACAATTTAAGTGATATACAGTACAACCTTTGCGGTTATCATTGAAGGCGCAATTGGGTTGACAGCTGTGTCCGATGAACCGGTGCTGAAGGTATAGACCAATACCTATTGGCTCAACTCCTATTTCAACGGATCCCACGGACGCCATAGGAATCAATGGATCGCAACTGTAGAGGAATGACACCCAATGTATCACTTCTTCGGGTTCGTGACGGACACCCAATTCGACCAACACTTTGTGCGATGACTCGAACTCATGTCTTCTCCCGTTAATGGCCTCGACGTGAATGTCATCCACTTTCATGTCATTGAGACTGACTTCCGATCCGTCAATCAATCGGTGCTTTTTTGTGGCAAACGTTGGGATCTTTTTGACCGAAAGGTAGAATCGGAACCAAAGTCTGAGCCAATCATTGAAAAGAAGGAGTTCTGGTATTTCGTGTCGAAGGAGTGGACACTCATTCTTGTGATACTTCCAGTCATTCTTCTGACACTCTTTACCGCAATAATACATACGAAGACATTTCGAGCATCTCTTCAATTGATCCGATCTTTTGAAACAATTGTCACAATATTTGCCTTTCGATGACATATTTAGGACATGAATTAGAGGCATGTCTTGAGTGATCACATCTCCCGGTGATAACGGTTTCGACAGTTTTGAAGACATTTCTAACAATAGATTTCGTAACGTTTTTTAAACGTGTTTATAATGAGTGTTACAAAACTTACCACAGATTTGATGATTAGATTGTGTGATAATTTCTTGTGTTGGAAGCGATGGACTTCTGGTAAGAATGAGTTACTAACACTCAAACAAAAAGTAATCGTAGAGTACAAAAACTTAGGCCTTTTTTAAGACTTTAAAACATAATATTTTATCACTCTACAATGCACAACATTTTGTACTTTGAAATACAAATTTAAAATACAAATTATGTTGTACTCTAGAATGACAATAGTTCAATACTTGAAAACACTAAAAATGTAATGTTTTATAATTACACTTTTTTATAATTTTATAATGGAAAAATAAATATGTTATAAAATACCATAAACATGTTATTTAAAAGTGCAAAATGTTTATTGTTATAAAATGCTATGTATTAGATATTTGCAAATTTAAAAAACATACAATCATAGAATTACAAATATTTTATATTTTATGAATAGAAATGTGTTTCTAAAATATCATTTAGTTATTGTGAAATTGGAAAATAAATAATAACATTTGATATATATTTGGCTTCACAAATGGAAAAATGGATTGATATAAAAGTTAATTGATATGAAATATCTAAATTGCGATACCAATTAATTGATATTAAGTATATTAGATTATATAATAAAAAATTATAATTTAGTTAAAAAACAATATTATACTAGATTAAGTTATATAAATGGTTATTAAATGATATATTAATGAATTACATACATTTTTAACAATTCTAATAAATTGGAAATTTTTATATAATGCATAAAAAGTACGTTTTACGCATTATTTAACATTTATGTGACAATTTTATAAAGAAATTATATAAAAATAGTCTATTATATTATGTTAACAATAATAGTTCCTTAATTTTTATACATTATATAATAGGGAATAAAAGCAGAGACAATATTCTTGCTTTCAAAAATGCAGCCAAAATGTTTTTGCTTTTTTTAATACATTATATAATAGGGATTAAAAGCAGAGACAATAATCTTGCTTTCAAAAATGCAGCCAAAATGTTTTTGCTTTTTTTAATACATTATATAATAGGGATTAAAAGCGGAATAGGATAATACGATATGTTGAGACAAACACTTGTCTTTTCAATTACTAATTTTCGCAAATATTCGCGCGATTCATAGCCATCGACGTCTTCTTCTCCACCAATAGATCCGTCGCTTAATATTGAACCAACTTTTGGCGAAATCACATTAACTATAATGATTTTAAACATTAATTACTTGTAATGAGTTAATAATGATTTGCTTAGATTTACCCAAAATCAATTGCTTGACACGTGTTGTCTCTCTTGTAGTAATCAAGAGTTCATTACCAGACAGTACCTGTAATTATAATCTAATTTACATGTTATTAGATGTATAAACAATTATTATTAATTTTATACCCCTTCAACAGTACAACACATTATCGATGGTCTCATCTGATCCAAAGTGTTAGCGGTTGCCATATTTAAATCACCAGCAAAAAGTACATTTTGCTGGTGATATCTTAACACAACTATTATTTGAAACACAATTAATGCAATTAAAATTATTTTGTTTTAATAACAAATCACTCATTCATTCATTCAATGCAAACGATTGTTAAACGTTATTACAAACAACAAGTGAGTGATTTTGCGCACAAATCACTACACAATTCGTATTTCACAGAACATATGTAATGTCATATCAAAGTGACAACATTTTTGTATTTTACAATTGAAAACGCGATCATTATTTTACGATACAAACTATTTATCACTTTAAAGTTCAAAAGTACTTTTGTACTTTAAAGTGATACAAATCACATAAATTTCGTAGCACTTTATGACAAATTGGGATGAAATATGAGAATTACGTACATTTTGTACTTTAGAGTACAAAATGTATTGACTTTTGTATTTTAAAGTACTAACGTTTTTTTGAGTGAAAGTGTTGATCACATTTCATAATAACTCATAAATATTTAATTAAAATTAAGTTTTTAAGACTTATCACTGAATGGAACCGATTGTGTGATGTCTTGCGATGAAGTAATGAGTTGTGACTAAAGTGTGGATCAATTGATGAACTGATCTGTGGATTGAAATCTAAGGCAAAGCTCAGGACTGGAGTGAAAGTCAGCACAAAATCAAGTGTGAGTCACGTGTTGTGAGATTTGCTGCTTATTATCATTATTGCTATAATTTTGGGAATATATTCATGAAATTTATCGCAAATTATATAAAACTGTGAAATTAATCAAATTAATACGTTTTTCACTATTTTTGAAACTATTATTTCAACAAATTTTATACACAAAACTGATGGCAATATTAATCCCGAAGTTATTTCAATACATTAAATGAATCGGGAATTCCCGGTAATATTTTCACTTTCATTATCGCCACAATTACCGCCTTTTAATGCATTATAAGCCATAAATTACGGGAAAATATTCTAATAATTTTGATTTTAAACTTAAAATTTTATGAGATTATATTTTAATTATAAATTGATAAAATGTTTTTACAAATAATAAACAATTTGATTATATCTTTAGAGTAAATCAATGTTTGAAAATGTAGGAAACAAATGATGAAGATCTAAATGCACTCATCATTTTTCACATTAAAACCAAAAATTGATTTAAAAATACAATTAAATAGTCATTAGTTTTTGCAATAAAAATAACAATTGGAGTGAAATAAATGTATTATAAAATGCAATAAAACGAATAATTAAATGCAATAAAGTGTGAAAATTATAACAAATACACACTTAAGTAGGTATTCAACCAAATTATTAATAAATTATATCATTTAAGGCGTATTAATATTAGTAAACACATAAATAATACAGAATTTAAGCCATAAATAAGAGAGTTTCACATATCATATGAGAAATTAATAAATTATAAGAAACAAAATTAAATTGATTAATGAATTACTTACTATATTAAATAATTATTATAATAATCCAAAAGTTTGCCCAAAAATAGAATTAATTACCGAATGACCTCACATAAGTTTACACTGTAATACTATGTGAAATCTAATCAAGGGGTGTAATGCTATCCGGGTAACGTTACACTGGGTTTTAGGCCCAAAATTTTAATTCATTAAAAATCACTTAGCATTACATACATGAGACAAATGACAAAAATATGTATATAAGTTTGAAACAAAAACGATTAAAAACGTTACAAGGCCTTTAATAAGGCGCTCTCACATTATCTCGCTCCCTCTTTATTATTGGATGGTATTGTGGGTGTGTATGACTGCTTTTGTATGGCTTCAGTCAATGGGGGGCAGAAAGAGGGAGCGTGAGCGCGACTTATTGTGAGAGCACCTTATTAAAGGCCTTGTTAACTTATATCCATTTCCTGTCAATGTGTGTGAGTTATTGACAATAGCTTTCACTAAATTGTCTCAAAAATGGATTTGTCTTCAAATGAAGTCATTAATAACAGTGAAGACATGGATCACGATATGAATGGTTACTCTAATGAAGACAACTATCAGATAGAATTGAATATTTCATAAACTAATTGTCTGATTGATGTGTAATTATTTGTCATTTCTATGAATAAATATGTTTGAATTAAATTCCATGTAGTATTACATGTAACGGTATCTGAATTCTAATAAGGGGGTGTAATGTTATCCGGGTATCGTTACACCTGATTTTGAAAATTCACATTTCAGTTAGAATTCACGTAGTATTACATGTAGAGTAATGTGAGGTCATTCGGTAATCATATGTTTTGTATTAAGATTAACAAACAACTGAATTAATGATATATTTAAATGCAATGAAATTAATAATTAAAAAATACCAAAATATTTATTCAATAATTAATAAACGAGTTTTAAAGCTGAATAACTGATTAATTTTAAATCCAATAATTGATTGAAAGAGTTTACGTGTGAAACGAGAAATGAATAGTAAAATGAATTGATTAATGAGAACCCATCGGTTGATTACAACCACAACAAATCATTGCCGACATTACCATCACATGAAAGGTATAATTGAAGTAACCTCTCATTGGGCTATCGACCGGACACGTCATGTCAATGGCTTTGTTTAATCCGACCGCCAATTCATTCAATAGCGATGGCGTTATATACGGAGATCTGTATACTCTTAGGACAATTAGATTCAAATACATTGTTTTCATTGGATGAAAGGCACCGAACATTACGTCCAAATCGGCCAACAGTTTCCACACGTGAGCCATGAATTGGGCGCCGGATGTGAAGTCTTGATCGGGAAAGAGATCCCAATTTTGGAAGCGTTCGTAATCCACGTCACGATCCAAATGGTGGACACATTTGTCGCACTCGCAGACTATTGACAACATTTTGAGCTTATTTTGTCTGTCCGTTCGGTTCATCTGTAATGAAGCGCGACTGAGAGTAATCTCTTCGCCGGCGGCTATCGGTCTCATTGCTCGCAATTGTATCGATAGATCTATTGAATGGTCAGAAGAATGAATTAATATCTAAACAATGATTGATATATACGTGATATACAACACAACCTTTGAAGTTCTCAATGAAGACAGCGTTGGGTTGACAGCTGTGTCCGATGAACCGTTGAGGAAGGTATAAACCAATACCTATTGGCTTAGGTTTTCCGGAACCTATTGGTTGAACGGATCCGACGGACTCCATATGAATCAATGGATCGCAACTGTAGAAGAATGACACCCAATGTTTCACTTCTTCGGGTTCGTGACGGACACCCAATTCGGCCAACACTTCGAGCGCTGACTCGAACTCATGTCCGCCGTTAATGGCCTCCACGTAAACGGTGTCCACTTTGATGTCATTGAGACTGACTTCCGATCCGTCAATCAATCGATGCTTTTCTGTGGCAAACGTTGGGATCTTTTTGACCGAAAGGTAGAATCGGAACCAAAGTCGGAGCCAATGATTGAAAAGAAGCAGTTCTGGTATTTCGTGCCGAAGGAGTGGACACTCATTCTTGTGATACTTCCAGTCATTCTTCTGACACTCTTTACTGCAATAATACATTTGAAGACATTTCGAGCACTTCTTTAATTGATCCGATTGTTTGAAACAATTGTCGCAATATTTGTCTTTGAATTCATTGTTCAGGATATGAATGATAGGCATGTCTTGAGTGATCACATCTCCCGGTGATAACGGTTTCGACAGTTTTGTTGACATTTCTGGCCATAGATTTCATATCAGTTGTCAAAACATGTGTTTATAAGGAGTGTTACGAGACTTACCACTGATTTAATGAATGAATCCAATTGTGAGACAAAGTCTGTGAAAGCAATGGTCTTATGGTATGAGTGAGTCGTCTATAACTCACAGCACAAGTGAAGGTCAGGTCAAAGTCAATGTTCACGTGTTATTCCTTTTGCTCAAATTTTTGGGAACAATTGCCACAAATGGGGGAATATTTTCAAGAAATTTGTATCAAATTATAAATTTACGGTTATTTAAAAACAATACATTAATAGAAATTGTCATTAATTTAAAGCTATTATTAATATTATACACAAACTAATCGCTAATTATTATTCCCAAAGTTAATGACATTAATTAATGAGGAATTCCCGGGAATAATCACACTCTCATTGTGGTACGGTTGAAAAAATGCCCGGCATTTAATATATATGCCATATATGCCCGGCACGTGCCCGGCACGTTTCTATCCAAAAAGGCACCACACCAGATGGCGTAAGTAGTAAAGTGTGTCATCCCCCCCATTTTGCCCCCAATTTCCCCCCAATTTGTTCCCCGAATTTTATGCCCAACTGGGCATGAAATATATATGCATAAAATGCCGGGCATTTATGCCTAGGCATATGCCCAGTGGGCATAATGCCTAGTAGGCATTTTCAACCGTACATTGTGGTCACAATTGGCGCCTTTTAGTGCATTATATGTTATAAATTACGGCCAAAATTATTAAAATTTTAAAACTTGTGAAAAATGCTATGCATTTATAATTTAATTTAATAATTGAAATTAAAATCAATTAAAGTATTTTATGAATACTGTTACACAATAATATTAGTATTGCTTACAAATTGATCATAAATTTACTGTAATTTCAATTTTTAAAAATAATATTTATTTAAAACATTAACTAAGATTACAAATAAAAATAAAACAATAGATTATAATAAAAACAGATAATTAAATGATTGGATAAAATTATGAACAATTATTACAGAATAAATAGAAGTTTTCATTTGATTGAAAGAAACAAAATATTTTGAAAGTAAATCAATGTTTGAAAATATGTTGAAAACATAATAACGACTTGAATTCACTCATCATTTCACAAATTAAAACCAACAAAAATTGATTGCAAAATACAATTAAATAATCATATGTTTTGGATAATGTTTTTTGTGAATAAAAGTTATACTAAAACACAATGAAATTATTAATTAAAAATGATAACAAATTCTATCAAAATTTAATTGTTGAAAATCATTTGAAAATAAGTGACCGATAATTAAGAATTTTATCATTTAAAAAGTCAAACAATTGATTAACACATAAATAATACAGTATTTAAAATTTAAATCATAAATAACTTTTATATCAAAGAAAATTCAATAAATAATAAGGTAGTGATTAAACAACATATCCATTGTATCTATTAATTGTAATGAATTTACCACGATTACACCATTTCAGGTGACTTAACATTTCATTATAATAATCCCTATACCGGCAATCGGCCAGAAATGTCACATCAATTGCTTTAATTAAATCGGCCGCCAATTGATTGTAAACCTCTTCGGTTACGACCGGACTATTGAATGCTTTTTGGAAAATCATTCCCAAATATACGGTCTTTTCGGGATTGTATTGACCGAAAACAATGTCC